ACAGAAAAGGAAAATGATAAATGTTGGAGAAGATGTGGGAAAATTGGGACACTAATGCATTGTTGGTGGAGTTGTGAACTGATCCAATCATTCTGGAAAGCAATTTCAAACGATGCACAAAGGGCTATCAAACTGTACACACCCTTTGATCCAACAATACCATTACTAGGTCTGGATCCCAAGGAGGTCATAAGAAAGGGGAAAAAGACCCACATGTACAAAAATATTTATAGCAGCTTTTTTTGTGGTGGAAAAAAAATTGGAAATTGAGAGGATGCCCATCAATTGGGGAATGGCTGAACAAGTTGTGGTATATGAATATAATAGAATACCACCGTGCTATTATTGTGCTATAAGAAATGATGAGCAAGCAGATTTCAGAAAAACCTGTAAAGACTCACATTAACTGATGCTGAGTGAAGTGAGCAGAACCAGAACATTGTACACAGTAACAGCAACACTGTGTAATGATCAACTATGATAGACTTCTCTCAGCAATACAATGATCTAAGACAATTCCAAAAGGCTCATGATGGAAAATGCTATCCAATCAAGAGAAAGAACTATGGAGTCTAAATGCAGATTGAAACATACTATTTTAACTTTTTGGTTATTTTTTTTCTTTCTCATGGTTTTTGTCCTGTTTCTGATTCTTCTTTCACAACATGAATAATGTGGAAATATGTTTAATATGACTGTACATGAATAACCTATATCAGATTACTTGCCATCCTGAGGAGGGGAAGGAGAAGATGGGAGGGAGAAAAAATTTGGAACTCAAAATCTTATAAAGGTGAATGTTGAAAACTATCTTTACATGTAATTGGGAAAAAATAAAATACTAATAAATAGAAAAAAATAAAAATAAAAGTTACCTTGGCAAAAGATTTAACTAAGCAAAGTCATCCCCAAGTGCATTTAAGGATGAAACTGGAACTTGGACAACAAATAGAAGATAGAAAGAATTAGGTATAAAAAACAAGATTTTCTTGACAAAGGTATTTGCCATTCTACAGGAGGGGGATCCAGAAGAAAGGGCAAATTGAATAAGGATTCCTTATGAATGGCAAGGCACTCTAGCTGCTCCTGTTTGCAGATGACACTATCACATAGCCTTCTGAACCATCTACACAGAAAAAAAACAAGGTATATGAAAAAATATTTATTGCCCAGGGCCAAGACATGAACTTAGATGCACAATGTCTAGAATTTATTCATCTGTATCTATTGAAGAGGCAATGCAGAGAGACAATCTGGTCCAGGAAATCAGCAAAAGGAGAAGGGCTCCCTGAATGGCCTTTAGGATACTGTACCACCATTTCTTTCGTACCATTAATGATTTAATATTAGGAAAGCAATTAACATAATTCATCATATGAAAAATAAAAACAACCAAAACTATATGATATCGATAGCTGCTAAAACATGATAGAAAAGTATATAAAATTAAAAGCTAAAATTATTTGCAATGGAGAAATACTGAAGCTTCCCAACAAAGTCTTTATTTATAATAGTTCTAGAAATTCTATTCATAGCAATAAGGTCAGAGAAAGAAATTTAAAGAATAAAAATAAAGAGAAGAGAAAGCTATCCTTGCTAATAACATACTGATTTTCTTTACAAATCCCAGAGAATCAGAAAAGAGACTCATTGAGACAATAACTTCAGGAAGACAACAGGACACAAAATAAGCCCCTCAAAATTATCAGCATTTCTATATGGCAATAAAAAATCTAAGAGGATATAACAGAAGTATCATTTTTAAGAAACTAGAAAATATATAAAACATATGGAAGTCAATCTACCAAAGCCACTTAAAATGGATACAATTACAAAATGCTTCTCAAAGAAATAAAAGATGATTGAGTGCTCATAGAGTACCCATATAAATATGAAAAAATGAATTAATTTAAGAAATTAATATACACATTTAGGGTCATACTAATCACCAATGACAGAACAAAATGTCTAGAATCATAGGAAAAATAATGGGGAGAAAATTAGGAATGCATAGCACTCTTCTTGATCTCAAATTATAATATAAAATATTTGCTTATAGCCTTTCTAAAAATGTACAATGGAACAGATTATGTAAAAAGTATCAGAAAAAAAATTAAACTCTGAAAAAAAGAATTCTGTACAATGAGCCAGAAAACGTAAGTTACTTGACAAACAATCACTGAGAAAAACTACTAGAAAAACTTGAGTACAGTTTGGCAAGAATATAAAATATATGCTATGGAGAGATAAAAGATAGAATACAGTTTTGGCAAGCTAGCTGGATATACAATCTGGATATTACAGGTCATATCATAAAAAATTATAAGAGAATTACATCAGGTACCTTTCACAGGTACCTTGTTGGGGGAACAATTCTTAATCAAAGAAGGAATGAAAGTAATCACTAAAGATAACTTCAATTACATGAAACTGGAAAGCTTTTGTGGGAACAAAAATCAGTGTGAATAGGATAAGGAAAGTGGTCAGTTGTGGGAAGAACCTTTATATTAAATATCTGCTAAGTGTCTGATATCCAAGATATATATGGAACTAAAATAATTATACATGACCAAAAACTATTCTCCAAAAGAGTCAAAGGACACGGAAAATCTTCAAAAAGAGAATTACAAACTATAATAAAGACAATCACTAATAATAAAAGAAACACACCTCTGGGAGGGCAGGGGGGAACCTTGAAATTCCCACTCACGCCTATTAAAATGGCAAAAATAGCCAAAGTTTGAGAAACAGTATTGATGGGGCTATAGGAAGACAGGCAGATGTACTGTGAAGCAGTACAACATCCTGAGAAGTAATTTGTTATTATGCTAAGCAAATGACGTTGAGATTCCACTATAATCACATATGGCCCCAAAATTCGAAAAGGGCGGAAAGGCCCAATATACAGCAAAACATCTGTACTAGAACTTTTTGTAATAGCAAAAACCTGGAAACAAAGTAGGTGCCTATAGACTGGGGAAAGGCTAAACAAGCTGTGATACACAGGGGTAATGGAAGAAATTTACGAATATGATATATGGTAAATCATGGGAAGATCTGTATAAGATGATACAAGGTGAAGTAAGCATAATCAGGAAAACAACACACACACTGACTACAACAATGTAAATGGAAAGAAGCACTGTGGGTGGAGACAAGTATTATGTAGGACATTTTAAGCTGGAGATGCCAGCCAGGAACAGTCAAACAGCAGTGTCCAGTTGATCACGTGATATTTGGGCTCAAGACAAGGAATAATACTGGATATATTCACGTGAAAGTCATCTTCATAAACATTAATAGTTGGACCCACAAGAACTTATGAGATCTCCAAGAAAAAGTGCATAAAAAGGGCCAAGGAAGGGAGTTAGAGAGCTGTCTCTGCCCTCTCTGAGATAGTCAGGGTGCTGATTGATTTTATTTGATGATTTCTCTTTGCCATAAGCAGTGTTCATTGAGTGGGCAGCAAGGTGCATCTAGAAATTACTGTGAAATAAAAGACATCAATAAAATTTATTTCAGAAAATATTCATTCAAAACAAATTTAAGGCAAAGGGTGAAAAAAAGCTCCACAGAAACCCTCTTGTTTATGGCCTAGCAGTTTCTCAGAGGCTTCGCAAGAGGAAGGTAGAAAAAAGATCAGATTTCCACTTGTCGGAAACACTGACCATATTTTTAAACTACCTACTTACCAACTTTAAAATTCACTATCCATCTGTAACCCTGAGTTCTTTGCAATTCTTAGTGACAGCTTCCTCTTTGTACTCTACAGTGTTTTATTGTTCCTCAATATCCTGCAGCAACATGGTTTTCAATAGATTCAGTGTCCTAATAGAATAATTCTATAGACTATAAATATCTACAACTATTTCCTCTAAAGTATCACTGAAAGCTCTTAGAAAATAAAATACGCCCAAAATATCATCACAAATAGTAACAGAACTGCTAGAAATAATGCTACTTTTCTAAAAAAATAAAGTTAAAATTCACTGAAGTGTTATTAGACATGTAATTGATCACTGCCATTGCTTGGGACTACATTTTAACAAAAAAAGATTACAAGGAATGGAATTCTATTGTGCTATAAGAAATAATGACCAGGTAGACTTCAGAAAAACCTGGAAAGACTTCTATGGACTGATGCTGAGTGAAGTGAGCACAGCCAAGAGAACGTTGTACACAGTAACAGCCATGTTGTGCGACGACTAACTTTGATAGATGTAGCTCTTCTCAGCAATGCAAGGATCTAAGACAACTCCAAAAGACTCATGATGGAAAATGCTATCCACATCCAAAGAAAGAACAATGGAGTCTGAATGCTGATTGAAGTATAGTATTTGCTCTTCTTTTTTTGTTCTGTTTTGTTTTGTTTCTTCTTTCTTGTGGTACCTCCTACTGGTTCTAATTCTTCTTTATAACATGACTAATGTGAAAATACGTTTAATAGGAATGCATATGTAGAGCCTGTATCAGATTGCATGCGGTCTTGGGGAAAGGGATGGGGAGGGAGGAGGAGTAAATTTAAAACTCAAAAGCTTATGGAAGTGAATGCTGAAAACTAAAAATAAACTAATTAATTTTTTAAAAAAGATTACAAGAGTAAGATTCATTTTTTTAGACTATAGCATGTATCTTTATATCTGTAATTTAAAGAAGATCAAGGAATATCGCTAAAATTTGCAATCAAAAAGGAAATATCAGTAGTATGATTCTTCTGAATCCTATCAATAACACTGTTAATAGATTTGACAACACAATGGAAATGTGGGGTGAATGAGAATAAGCAGTCAAGGATGATACCAAGGCTGTAAGCCTAGATGAACAAGAAAATCATAGTATCCTTTATAGTAATGGGGAAATTTAATTTCAAAGTAAAAGTTAGAGACATTAAGTGTCTTGACCATGGTAACACATGTAGTAAATGTTAGAGGTAGTTATCAAACCTATGTAGAGATACAGGTTCAAAGTTCAGTACTCCACACTACAATACACTGTCTTACCATTGCACTAAGAGCTTCTTCCCAATCAGGCCGCTCACGGGGATGAACATTCCTATGGAGCTCTGGCACAAAATCATCCTCTTCTGAATGTACTGAGGACTTCATCTTTCTAGGAGTCAATAAAGAAAAAAAAAGCTGTTAAAAATCAACATTTCATTTTTCAATTACTTCAAAATCAGTCAATATACATTTGCTAAGTACCTACTATGTGCCAAATATTGTGCTAAGTGCTAGGGATACAAAGAAAAGCAAAAGACTATCATCTCTGCTCTCAATGGCACTCACAGTCTAATGGGGAAATAATATACAAACAAGTATATAAAAATAAGCTACATATATGATAACTGGAGTTAATCTAAGGGAAGTCACTAGAAGACAGGGATTAGGAAACACTTCTTGCAGAAAGCGGGATGTTAGTTGGCACCTGAGGGAAGCCACAGAAGGCAGTGATGAAGAGGGAGAAAATTCTATTCATGGAAGACAGACAGCAAAAATATCAGGAGATACAGTGTTTTGTCTGAGGAACAGTGAGGAGGTCAAGCACCTAGTGGAGGTGGGGTGGGTAGAGAAAAAGAAAGTCTAAAAAGACTGGAAAAGTGGGGATGGGGGAAAGGGGCAGGTTATTAGTGATTCTGAACATCAAACAAGGTTTTATATTTGGTCCTGGAGATTATAAGAAGAAACTGGAGTTTATTGGGGTAGAGGAAATGAAATGGATCTGTGCTTCAAGATCACGTTAATAGCTAAGTAGAAGACAGACTGTAGTAGGAATACACTTGAGGCAGGGAGACCAACAAGCAGGCCACTGCAACAGGCTAGGAATGAGATAAGTGTCAGAGGAAAAAAGTAGACATACACAAGAGATATCAGAAAGGTAAAACGGACAAGACTTGGCAACAGATTAGAAATGGGGGTGAGGGTAAGAGAAGAGTAAAGAGTCAAGGATGATCTCTAAGTTGAGAGCGTGAGTGATGGGAGAATGGCAATGCATTCCATAGTTACAGGGAAGTTAGTTAAGAAGCAAAAGTTTGGGGGAAAAGGTAACGAGTTCAGTTTTGAACATGTTAGTTTAAAATGCCTACAGGACATTCAGTTCAATATGTTTAATTAGCAAGTAATAATATGAAACTAGATGTGGAAAGGTTAGGAAAGGACAATACAAATGATAAACATCTGTATAGAGATGATAGTTGAATCCATAGGAGCTGATAAGATCAGCAAGTGAAACAGTGTAGAGGGAAAAAAAGAAGAGGGAACAGGATAGAGCTCTACAGAACCACCATAGTGTGGGCATAACCTGGATGAAGATAGATCCAGCAAAGGAAACTGAGAATGAGACATCATATAGATATGAGGAGAACCAAATGAGTGGTGTCATGAAAATCCAGAGAGAAAAGAATATCAAAGAGAAGAGAGTGACTGACAGTCAAAAGCTGTAGAGAGGTCAACATGGACAGTATCAAAAGCTGCAGAGAGGTCAACATGGATGAGGACTGAGAAAAGGTTATTAAACCTGGTAATTAAGACATTAGTGATACCTTTATAGCGAATAATTTTAGTTGAATGATGAGATTGAAAGTCAAATGGCAAAGAGTTAAGAAGATAGTAAGAAGATTAGAAGTAGAAGCACTGATCATAAATGGCCTATTCAAAAAGGTTAGTAGCAAAAAGGGAAGATGACCATCAGGGACAGATGGATCAATTGAGAGTGTTTTGAGGATACGCAAAACATAGTCAAGTTTGTAAGCAGTAGGGAAATAAGCAGTAGACAGGGAGACGTTGAAAATTAGTGAGAGTACTAGAATGTAATTAGTTGAGCACGTAGAAGCATTAACCTTGGCAAAGAGAAGGGTCATCTCTTCTTGTGAGATAGGGTTGAAAGAGGAGGTAGTGGTCGAAAGCACCTGAGTAAAGTGAGATGAGGAGGAAAGGATAAAGAAAGTTCTCAGCAATTAGCCTCCATTTTTTTTAAGTAAAATATGAAGCAAAGTTCCAGTTGACAGATGGGGAGCCACAGAAGGTTTGAGGAGGGATGAAATTATTTGGAAAGGATGCTTTGGTGAGTGGAATAGTGAACCAAGAAGAAGGAAGGTCTAATGATGTGGGAGTAGGGGTAAACAAAAAGTTAGTGTTGAGCTTTCCTTGCTAAGTGGAAATAATAGTTCATACTTCCTTTGCTGCTCAGCTGGGACTAGGTCCTAGATTTTTAAAGTCCTGGAGCCCCAAGACTTAGGTCCTAAATTTTTGAAAGATGTGCAAAATTAAAGGGATGAACCAATGTATGTCTAAGCCTCAAGTCTGTCAAGATATATTGAAATAATTTGACAAAAACCTACAGAAAACAAGGCTGAATGAACTTTTGCTCTATGAACAATTATTTATTATGTGCCCTAAGGTGAAATGAAGCATGGTCCCCAATCAGTTTTAATTATACAACACAGACGTAACTTTAATCGACCTAATATTTATGTGGGGAGAAGAAAATTTCCTTTTAAAAAACTGTTCTATTAATTGAAGATTATGTTTTACTTTCTACCTATGTCACAAGAGTTGACAAAGTGCTCAGAACCCAATTAAGTTGATATATGCGATTCCATAATCATCAACATCAAGATTAGTGATATCAGTAACCTCGGAAAATTTGAAGTAATTTTAATAGATACAACATCCATTTTAACTAATGAAATTCCCTGGGAGAGATTAAATGTAAAAGATCCATAAAATTTTATGTAAATTCTAATTTTGACAATATGTAAAACAAAGATTCCCCCCAATATCAATGAGGATACTAGAGAGGTGGAGAAAGGGATATAGCGCCTATTATGTGCCAGGCACTTTGCTAAGCACATTACATCTCATTTGATCCTCACAACAACCCTACAAAATAAATATTGTTATTATCCCCATTTTACAGTTGAGGAAATTAAGGTAACATTTGTGAGTCAGAATCAAAATCAGTGGGATCAGGAATAGGCTTTTAAACACTTTGACAGTTAAATTTCATATGTATAGTAATGCAGAAAATACAGAAGTGGTTGTCGAATTGTTTTCTTCTCACAAATTAACCCAGATAAGCTCTATCATGTAATAGTCTACTTCAAGAAAAGCAGTCAGCATAACTGATTCTAACTCATAAACAGGGTGACTCCCAGAAAAATATGTTAACTCAGTAAGGTAGCTCACTTCCTGCTACTGACTAGAGAATGATGTGTTAATTTACTAGATTTTTATCAAGCTTTCTGACCAAAAGCTCAAAATAGAGCTTAGCTGGATTAGTTGGAGCCGAGAGAAGAAGAGAAAATATGGTCAAAGGGAAAAGTTAAATTGTTCAAATAAAAAGAAGGAAAAGCACATAATAAGAAATAATAAAATAAAAGATAATTTGGGAGATACTTCTACACCAGAATGAGCAATTTCTTGTCATGGGTTTTTGGACAAGACTGGATTTAAAACCAAAATATTAGGCCACCTGAGGTACAGTAAAAGGAAATCTATCTAAATCAGATATTTGTAACATATTCTACAAAATGTACACTTGGTAATACCAGTCTCTTCTAATAATTCCAATCTGCTAAAGACCATTCAGGATACTGTTTTTAGATTGAGGGTTAAATCTAACATTTAATTCTGTGGAATGCACTTTGTGTAAAAAAAAGAAAAATCTGCTCTTTTCAATGCCAAAAATATAACTTTCTACTCCTCATGATTTTAGTTTCTGCAGATAAATTATAAAACATTATCAAATTTAACAACTAAAGTAAAACTTCTTGATTTATTGTTTCTAACTTGTATCACCCAAAACCCAACCCACATCATCACCCTGTTTTACTGTTTACAAAAAAAAAAAAAGAAACCACACAAACTCATTTACTTCAGTAGAATCTTCATTTGTTAGACTTATTTCACTCATTTTAGCACAGTTCCTCCTCCAACCTTCACAGTACAATTAAACTTTATCTGAAAAATCTTAATTATTCCATTAACATTACTCAGTTTTGAAACTTTTTTCTTCAAACCTCTACTTAAATTTCTGGTATTCCTCTTCTTATTTCAAGAACTTACACTGGGTTATCATTCAAATTCAGCAGTCAATTTTTAAATTACCCCTCATTTTTCCAGATGTCCAATTTTCACTTATTTCAATGATCATGAAAAAATTCATGAGGGTGAGCAAGAAAAAACAGAATCAAACACAAAATTGTTAATTATGTTTCTTTCAAATAGCAGTAGCTGGAATTTATGCAGACTTTAAAGTGCTTTCCAATTATCTAATCTGATCTTCACAGCACCCTGTTGGGTAGGTGCTATTATTAACTCCATTTTACAAATGAGGAAACTGAGGAAGACCAAGGTTAAGTGACTTTCCTAAAGCCATACAATCAATAAGTGTCAAAGGCAGGATTTGAACTCAGGTCTTCTTGACTCCAAGTCTAGCACTCGTAACCTCTGAACCACTTAGTTATCTCTAAGTAACAGTACATGCTAACTGTGTTACAGTGCAAGACAGATCACTCTGAGACATAAACCCTTTAAACCAGGGCATGAGCCTCAAAGACAGTATACTTATTTAGAGAACCAGCACTAAAAAGGACTATGATGTCTTCAATTTCCTTTTCAAATGCAATCAAATATTTTTACTGATTCTATGTTGTAGCTTACCTGAGTTTCTAATAGTACAGCAAAAACTTATCATCCAGGCCTGAACTGACTGAGAGACTCTATATTTGGCACATATATAATGACAGCTAGCACTCCTGAATCCAGGGCCAGTGCTCTATCTACTGCACCACCTAGCTGCCCCCTTGTTTTGCTTTTTTTCAATCTTCCTTTCTCTTCACCAGCTAAAAGTGGTGTGTAGAAGATCAGTCAGGGGCCCCTGATTCACTGATTCATTGATCCACTGTGCTACCTAGCTGACCCCTCACATTATCTTATTTGATCCTCAAAACAACCCTCTGAGGTTGGTGCTACTATTATCCCCATTTTGCTGATGAGGTAACCGAGGAAGACAGAGATTAAGTAACTTCCCCACACAGACACATCTCCACTCCAAATGTCCATATGGAATATCTGTGCCCAATCCGTGGTAGAGCCTTCTGAGCTCATATT